TAACCATTTATTTCATTTGGATTCAATGGATTCCATTTATTTCCCTTCTTATAAGATGTTTACAGAAAATTCACCATCAGTTGTTCAATGGATTTTACTGGGATCCGAATGAAAAACAATCTCTAATGGAGCACCGAGGGATTACTTTAATAGTGAATAATTCATACAAATTACAATGTGAAACTTCACAATCATGTCGAGTGAACTATGAAGAGTGCTCTGCAATGCCCAAAGCTACAGATTTCTTCATTCTTGTCCTAACTCTTCAACCATTATCCAAAAACTCTTGCATATCTTTCTTTCAAATATGCGATTGGTCCACGAATGTGTGCTTCAAAACTGTGATGTCCTCCCGACGTGAAAGGCACTTTACAAATGTAATTTTGTTGTTTTGTTGGTCAGTATTTCCATTTTAAAAACCGGGAAGCTAAATATCAGCAGCTAATCCAGTCTATTTTATTTAGCACAGTGTAAAATTTATAATCTGAACTGTGGCATTGATGTTGTCTGATGTTATCTGGTGTTGTAGATCACCTCAGGCATTTCAAATGAGCTGAACTGATAATAATGAAGTGTAACAGTGCCATCTGTATCACAAATGTCCCTTAATTACAGCTGTGACTTGGAATTTATAATTCAGTCAGATCCATTAGAACATGGTGGTTTGGGTCCGTAAAATGAGATCCTGAGTTATAATCGGGTATGCTGTAATGCGGCTGCTTGTCAGTGCTTCTGTGTGATAAGATTGCCAATGAAGTTGCTGAGCTGAGCATACTGAGTGTGCATGCAGTGCGCAGAAAGCCAGCTGGTCAGCGGCAACTGTTCTCACAGCCATTTCCAACAGTTTCTTGGACGTGGATAAAGTCCAGAGGCTTTCTGAGCCTGGGCTCCACATGCAGGAAGCTGGCCAGTCAGGACAAGAATCTGGAAGTGTACCACATTTCTAGTATACTGTAGGTTCACGGTCCACCTATGCTATATACAAACACGCAGTTGACTAAAGTATAATGGAATCCAATGTAATAACGGTCCTTGCATTTGCTATAGCACTGACAACGTCAAACATTTCAAAGAAACGCATGGTCACTACAAGTAAATGGTCTACCCTTGACAGAATTTCACAGGAAAATGCTGTCGACGGTAGTGACCATGTGTTTGTCGGCAAATGCAGAAGCCATTCTGTGCACAGCAAGGTCTCAAAAATAGCCATGAAGTGAATGACCAATCTGTCTGGACAAATGTTGGCTGGGACACTGCGAGAAACTCTCTGCATGATTTCAAATTGATATATTTATTCTCTGGCAGAAATATCCCACAAGTATATCTAAGATAGATTAAAGTAAGTCTAAATGGATGCAATCGTTTTACATTACGTCATCTTTGCTTCTCGGCATTGTTAAAGACTCAGATTGTGCTTCTCTTAATGTCCTTTGTTCAAAAGTAAACAAATTCAGCTCTGTGAGCCTCTCCTCATAACTAAGTCTTTGAATATTCTCTATCAAAGGCTAAGACAGAAAATTTTAAAGAAGCTTAAGACTCTGGGAGCCATAAGAGCTGCAGGGAGGATTACTCGGAGGAAATTAAGAAATAAACCAATGAAGAAACAAAAAAACATTTTTTTTAAATGGACTGAAAAAGAAAACATTATATATCTTTGTGGGGAAAAGAGACGCATAACAAGACCAAGAGCACAAGGCTAAATTAGGTCAAAAACAACTTAGCGGCCAAACAGAAACTATTTAAAATGTGTATTCATCTTTCGTGAAGAAGAGGAGGGAAAGTTGCTGAAGTTAGAGATGAGATTTTCAGAAATGACAGAGGAGAAACTAAACAGGCTGGAAATAATGATAAGATGGTTAGATGTGCTTGATCCTTAAAGCGCAGGGGTACAATATCTTTGTTGCTGAATTCTGAAGTAATTTCAAAGGATTGGAAACCAAGTAAAATAATTCCAAAAGCGAAACGAGATAAACCTGGATACTTTTTTGCATGCTGGTGTTAGCAGTCTGGTTCCTGAGCCACGGTCAGCGAGGGTTAATGCAGTCACGAGTCACTGTGGACTGGGATTCTTCCCACTCAGCTCCTGTTAACCCTCCAACTCAAATGTGGACCTCTGTGGAGTACGGATACTCTTAAGCATGGTAAGCGGTTTCTATGTACACCAGGCTGGGATATTCCAGTGTCATCAAATTATTTTTAAATCAATTTTGAAACACTATGAGTAATTTAAGAATTTAACAGATTCAGTCACTTTGAAACTCAGTGTACAGTGGCTTTTATTTTTCTTCCCTTTTTTTAATCTGACAGTGTACATGTAAAGCCAATGACAGTTCAAGGAGAAAACATCCTGATCATTATGAGTAAAACTTAACTCTCGTTTTTATCATCTGCTGAGTTTCTTAACACTGACTCAAAAATCATCCACAATCGTCAATTATTTCCTACAATAATGATTAGAAAATAATAAGTGACAACAGCGTTTTTGTTTTGTATCTGAGAATGCAGCTGTTTACCTAAGGGATATTTTTATCTGAGTTTCCTTTCCTATACATTGCATGCAGACATTAAAATGCAGATAAAATAACTACTGTATTGAGGTTACAAGTAGCTGAATTATGTTATAGGTCTGGTTTCTGACCTCACTGTCTGAATTTCCCTCCACCCACGAATCATACAAACAAGTTTAACCATGAGTAACCACTAGAGGTAAAGTCTAAACCGCTGATGACTGACATGACTACCTATCTGACTTACAAGATTCTCTCTGAGGCTTTCTGTATTTCTTTTTGTATTTTTTCTTTAAAAAAAACACAATAAAAATGAGCAGGGTGGTGACACCTTGATTAACCCGAGGGTGAGATAACAAAAAATATAGTTTACTGGAATCCTGTAAAAACAAAGTGCTAAAATTCAAAGTTAGCACCAAAGGGATATTTAAATAGATTGATTATGAACTGGTTCTCTCAGGACAACATTTGGCAAAACTTGGTAACTCCATAGTAATTTAAAGTAGTTTTGGAAGTGTAGACGTTTTCCAACCTGCAAAGGTTGAAGGAGTATTATGAAATAACCAGTTCATCCTATAACCAAAAAGGGGGGAGAGAAGATCCGTCTAGTAATGGGTCAGGCCAGAGGTGGGGGAATTAGAAGATGATCTGCGCTGGTGGATCAAACCCACTGATGGGACATGATGTGAGGGCAAGAGGGACTCCACTATAAATACTTTCAATCCATGACTGTTTGTGGGACACTGCTGTGCACGACTGGCTGCTGCGCTTCGCCCACAAAATACCAGTCAATCCACTTTACAGTATATTCTGTGAAGCGCTACGAGACGTCTCAAAGACGCGATAAGGTGCTACATGGAGAATGATTTGTTAAACACTTGTGAGAGGAGAGACCATCTGCGCGAGTGGCGTGCAGGACGCAAACAAGGGCACTTCGATCATAAACAACAAATACTTGGCAGGTACTCAAAGGCTTTTCACGGCGCAGTCCTATCCGCACTGATTTACGGGCTGGAAAACCTCCACGCTGCCTTGAATTGCCGTGGACCTTACAAGCCCGGCCAGGTACAATGACGTGGGCCTGGAGGGGACGCGGGTAAATAACTAACCGCCTTAGTTTCGGGGTCCTGGACAGCGGTCGAGAAGAAGACGGGGGGGGAAAAAAGGAGCGGATAGACAGACGACGGTTGCGGAAGAGAGCGCCACAACTTTAGATGGAGGAGGAGGAGGAGGAGGAGGAGAGTCTGGCCAGGAATCCAAGTACGTTTGTAACCCAAAGTCCACCGAAACGCCAGCCCCAAGAGTAGCCCGCGATTACGCAACACCTCCTCCCTCCCTTGTGGGTAACACAAGAGTGGCCAATTTAGGTAAGAAAAGGTCTGCAAGGTGGTGGGGGGGGGGGGGGGGGGGAGATGATGGAGAGAGGAGATGGGGGGGTGGGGGGGGGGGGGAGATGATGGAGAGAGGAGATGGGGGGTGGGATGGGGGGGTGGGGGGGGAAGTTTTCCAAGTTTAAATTAAACATTGTTTGTTTTTAAGACGCTTTTTCCCCCCCCCAACGCACAGGCAAAAAAAAACACCAAACCCCGCCCAAGCCTGGCCACATTGGATGGAGGATCGGGTGGGAGGAAAGAGAGACAGGACGAGACAGACACGACAGACGCGCACACACACACACACACAGAGAGAGAGAGAGGGAGAGGTTCAAATCCTGACGCCTGATGTCAGGCGGACTCAGTGCCACAGGAGAGGGCGGAGGCCGGATCTCTGGACGTCCTTGTTGACGGTTATATCCACGGTCACCGGAGAGAGAGAGAGAGAGTGAGTGAGTGAGAGAAAGAAAGAAAGAAAGAAAGAAAGAGAGCGAATCTGCCTGAGCCGCCCCGCTCCTCCCCGCCTCACCTCACCTCCTGCCTCGGGAGCGAATGAGCCTCGAGGTGAAGGTGACAACAGTAAACAACAACAACCACCGCCACCGCCACCACCAAGCGGCGGCCCCGCGCCTGCGCGTGCGCCCGAGCCCGCGCCGCCCTCGCCAACCGCCGCCGCTCGCGGCTCCGCTCGGCCGCGGGCTCGACGGTTCCATTTCCGTTAAGAGGTCATGTGTTTTTTTTTAAAAAAAACGCACCGCCGCCGCCACCACCACCAACAATAATAATAATAATAATAATAATAATGATGATGATAATAATACACGAAGCTCCGCCGTGAGGTAACAGCGAGCGCGCGGTCGTGATTGCCGGGGGGGGAGGGCCGTTTGAGAAGGGGCCGTGTGCGCAGGCGTGGACGTGGACGGACGCTCGCGCTCGCTCGGTTTCTTAGGGAATATTTAACGCGACGCCGAGAGAGGGAGAGAGGGGGACACGAGAGGTGTCTGAACCCGGTCTGGGCAGTGCTTGTCGCTCCCGAGCGAGGTCGGGGCCGGGACTGTTATATAAAAAAAAGAGTCCTCGCCGCCGCCGTCGCCGCCTCCTCCCGTGTTTTTCCCTTTTCTTCCCCGCCCCTCCGTGTGGTCCGAACTGGGGCGCGTTTTGCGTTGCGACTGAACGCGAAAAAGAAAAGAGGCTTTTTCGACAGGTGCCGTATTTGACATTTTTTTTTTCTTTTTCTCTCCCTCCTCTCCTTCCCCCCTCTCCCCCTCCCCCCCCCCCCCCAAAAAAAAATAATAAAAAAAAATCCGGTAAAACGTTCAATTCGGCCACTCTGCGATTACCTTTGCGAAGTCAGTGAGCGACCCCCCTCTGTCTTCCCCCCCCACCCCACCCCCTCAACCACACTCCTTCAGCCCCATTAAAATTGGGCTACTTTTGGGTGGACTTGGGCTACAAACGGATTGGCGTTGCATAGCTCGATCCTGACGGCCACCGAGACACGTAGTGTGAGTGTGTGGTGGGGAGGAGGAGGAGGAAGGAAGGAAGGAAGGAGGAGGAGGAGGAGGATGCGGCGGTGTTTCTGGCCGCTGTGAGTGAGTGAGTGAGTGAGTCAGGTCGCTCAGCTCAGCGGCGCTGCTGCTCCTGGGTGGGGGGGGGGTTGTTGCCGCTGTTGCTGCTGCGCGGGTCCGTGTGCCTCCTCTCTCTTTTCCTCCCTCTCATCTCATCTCATCCATCCTCTCCGTCCCGAGTTGTCACCTTCGGAGATATATATATATATTTTTTAACGCCCCCTCCCTCCCTCCCTCCCCACCACCACCACCACCCCCCGTTTTCGGGTCGGCTTCCTTTTCCCTCCCAGGGATGTGGGTCAACCCCGAGGAAGTGCTGCTGGCCAACGCGCTCTGGGTGACGGAGAGAGCCAACCCCTACTTCGTGCTGCAGAGGAGGAAAGGGCATGGAGACGGGTCGGGAGGGGGCCTGGCCGGTAAGGAAGCGTATTTCCCATCTTTGTTTGTTTTTTTTTCTCTCTCTCTCTCTCTCTCTCCGGGATGGGGCCGGGGCAGCCAAGGCAGAAGTTTCCCCGAGGTTTGCCACACACACACACACACACACACAAAAAAAAATAACCTGCATGCGTGTGTTTTTTTTTGTTGTTGTTGGGGGGGGGTGTGCGGGTGTGGTTGGGACGATGTGGGTGAAGGGGGATTTGTTTGGTTTCGCCATCAGCTGCGATCAATTAATTGCTCAGGTTGGGTGGGGGAGTGTTGCTATTCTCGGAGCGGGTACAGAATTTCTATCCGGGTAGTGAAGCTGTGTGTGGCGGTTGTCCTGTTTCTTGCAGCGTTTTACCATTTCAGGGATGCGGATCGTGCATTTTTAAATCCGTTGACCCAGTGGAGTATTTCTGGTTACAGTGCAGACGTGCATTAAGTTTTGCTGCTCAGCAGCTTTCTCCAGAACCTGTCTGGTCACCGACTCTCTTCTTACTTCTTCACTGGGAGTGACTTGGCGAGCTTTGAAGCACTTACCCCTGATTGTACAACAGTCCAAGTTGGGCAATAAGAAAGTGACTAAAAATATTGGACAGGTCCACTATTTAAAGTCCGGCAAATTTTAAATAATACACAACTTCTCTTTTGATAATGTTGAGAATGTTACTTGCAATGTCCTGTAATGTAAACTGTTTTGCAATTTGCTCTGGTCAGGTTTCTTTTTTGATGAAAGCTGAGAAAGTTAATTGCTGTTATTTTACAATAATAGGATTTAGTTGATTTTAAACATTTTGAATGAAGAATTGGGGTCTCTTTGCCACGTAACCACCATGTATTCCACTTCCTTACAGGACATTGAAGAAGGTACATCATGTTTCATGGTGCCAATATTTACATAGCTCTGCTTCTCATTTCTTTTAAACGCTTGAAATCCATTCACAGTGGACTATTTTTTTAAGAATTTGAACATTGCATTTTTCACTTAAATCCTTCCAGTCAAAAGTTGTGTTATTGAAAGAAATGCAGTGGGCCTGCATAAGTGCATTTCAATAAAGCCTCTATGGCTGGCTGTGAATTAGTGGTTTTATTCACTGGTAAAGGCTGAAGGCAGCAAAAATCTATAAATGCGCGTTTGCTAACCACTGAAAGGTTTTCCTTGCTACAAGCTCATCCCAAGGGCATTTCAGGCAAAAGGTTTGCTTCTCGTGTTATTAAAGCAACCTTGTTGTTATGTGATCAGAGTTTTTTTGAGTCTGATAATAATAATAATTCTTGCATTTGATACAGCACTTTTCACATCTTCTAAACGTCTTAAAGCGCTTCACAGAATATACTGTAAAGTGAATTGACTATATTTGTGGGTGAAACCGGCAGCCAATTGTGCACAGCAGTGTCCCACAAACAATCGTGGATTGAAGCGACCAATTTTTTTTAAGTTTAGTTAGAACACAGTTCTCCAAGGTTGTAGACTATAGCTTTTAATCTGTTCCTTGATAAACTCCACTGTTTAAATTTAAAAATGCTTTTTTGGAAATAACGATCCCTCAGTAAGTAAGAAACAGAAGTGCAGAGTCCAATTCTGTTTGCACTGCCCGAATAATTAGTTTCTAAGCTTGTAACGTGATGCTTTTTAATAATGATATTAGTTTCTTATTTTAAATGGCGCTCTCTCTGGATAGTGTGAATGGGATTCAGAATGAGGATTAGTAGCCTGAACCAGACAGATAGATCCAGTGAAGCCAATAAGTATACAGAGGTGGCCCAGCAATGCATCATAATTATGATTGTAATTATTTTATAATGATGGCTATTCCACAATGTTTAAAACCTTTTTTTTATATTTTCGTGTGCCTCATTGTTTTAAGTCTGGTGAAGTGAGAAAGTATTGTATAGTAAATAAGCATTTTAAGATACAAATTGTTTTCTCTCAGATTAATTTTTTATCATGTTTCTTTATCAAATTTGTCACTTTTTAAAGGAATGTGACTTTTTTTAAGTACTTCTACTGTGATTCCTAAATACTGGTTGCCTTCCAATATCTTGAAGTAGTCATTCAAGAACTTTAACCATTTTATAATTGACCAGACTTAAAAGGGCGCCTTAGTCTGATATGCAGTCATTTCAATCAGGAGCCTGTAAGAGACTGATCTGCCAGAGATTCTCTTTTTTTCTTCTCCTCCACCCCCCAATCCTTTCACAATTATTTTAACCATCCCATTCTATGTCTTCTTCTCCCCCACCCTCTCCAATCCAGGATGCTAAAGTACACCATTACTGCAGCTCCTGCTGAGGTTAATTTAGGCAGCACAGATTGATCTGCATGTGTTGAGCTAGTCGTTGGATAAACTCACTGAACCATGAAAGGGGGCGGGGGCGTGGGGGAGAGAAGTAGAGGTTTTTATATTTATCCAGGGGATTATTGAGAAATGGAATGCAATAATGAGATTGAGAAATGGAACCCCTTTGTTTTTTGCATCAACCATTGCCAGGTCCAGTTTAACATTATCAGATGCTGTGTAAAACTTTCACTTTTGCTCAACTATGTGCTTTAAAAAAGCAAAATTAAGGATATTTTCTCTGAAAATAATGTAATCTTGTAGGGAAAAAAAATCCTGTGGAAAATATGGATGAATATCTTTTGCAGTTTGTTAAACTTATTGCTATGATGGTTATAATGGAATTTTTAAATGTATTTTTCTTGGGGGGGGGGCAGTTAAAGACATGAGCAGACATGAAAATACATCTTCTTGGATACATGCAGTTGCTCCTGAAACTTAATCTTAATGAGGAAGGGATGTGGTAGCCTTAGGAAAGAAGTATAAACCTCTGGGATGCTACCCTGCATGAAGGGTGCTATATAAATGCAAATTGTTGTAGTTGTAAACCTGAAACATTGAGCTTGACATAGCTTGTAAAATCAACCATATTATTTAGTTGGTATTAAATAATATTGTATGGATACATTTATGAGCAAGAAGCACATTAAATAGAAAATGCTACCTACTGTTTTTTCTTTAAAGGAAGATGGTGTAGAGGGCCTTACTTTAATTATAATAATGTTTGATGCCAAATGACCAATTAGTGACTATGCCTCCTGTGGAAGAACAGGAGAGAAATAAGCGTGGTCCCCTCAAGAGCTAAGCTGGCTCCAAGGTCTTGTGCTTGGCAACAGAATATATCAAAATTGTGTCAACCCACTGTTCTTGGTATCTGGTTACTGAGCCAGTGAAATTTGTGTTTTTTCAAGGTTCTGCTGATGACAGACCAACTGGCTTGCCGTCAGTGGGACTTTTAAGGAGCAAACTTGGAGCAGGGATTCTTCACATTCAGCTCCTGTTAACCCTGCAAGCCAAAGCTCTGCTAGGTAGGGTGGTCTTAGCTGAACAAGCAGCAGGAATCCTGCCATCCAGTACTCTCGGAGGCTTAGACATTTCTTCTGAAGGACTAGCTGCACACTATGTGAATTTAGCTGGTCAAACTCCAGTAGTACCCCAATTCGCACTGCACTTCCAACCTGCATCTAATACTCTGGAATTAGTTAGAAGGGTACAGCCCTCTAAGGAGAATAGTAGACATGATCCATTATGTGCAAGCCTAGTTGGCATGCGTATGTGGAATTGTCAGTCACTCTTAAGCAATGAGATTGATTTCCGCATGTGTCAGTCACCCAGGAAGTATCTCTTTCCTGGCTTTCTTTACCCTACCTTCAAAGAAATTGTCAAATTTGGTGCTGTATTTCTCAACATTATCTTGTCTCCTATTGCCCTGGAAAGTGACTCCAATTGTAGGTTATGGATGCATCTAGAGTGACTCCAAATATAGTTGTAACCCAGATATCGGCACTTGCTGTCTGAGCTGAGAAATGTTAATAGTGGTTGAGTAGGCAACCGTGTTAATCAAACATCTGGCTTCTATGGAGCCTCATCTGAAAGTGCCAGGAATCGAGCTTGTCTCAACAACCCTATAGAGCAGCCTGATACAAAAATAGACCCAAATGAAGCAAAATACTGTAGTTTGGTGACAAGTAGATTTAAAATCTTAACATGGTGGGAAATTCAGAAAAGTATGAAGTTATGTTAGTTATACGGTATATATGCTTGAATCCAAGATTATTTTTTTCAACCCAGTTTTGTATTTGCCCAATTTTTGGTTTGTTAAAGCAACATTGTTAATCAGTACGATAGCCTGAATCAATAACCATTTACTTTAATAAAATAATAATACTTGCATTTGATTCAGTTGATTAAAGCTCTGACACAATCAGATACTTTAAAAGTGCAGTGGCACCTATATTTGTTTAATAACAAAGAATGCAAGCACTATTGGTTGCAAAAGCATGCCATCGTGAAGTGAATAATAATAATAATAATCCTTGGATTTGATATAGCGCTTTTCACGTCGGGAGGACGTCCCAAAGCGCTTCACAGAACACACACTGTAACGTGAATTGACTGTATATTTGTGGGCGAACGCGGCAGCCAATTGCGCACAGCAATGTCCCACAAACAGTCGTAGATTGAAAATGACCAATTTATTATTGTTTTTGGTTTTTGAGGGATTATTATTAGGCTCTGTGTGGAGTAAGGAAACTTGCCCAAGGTTTCGCCCTCTGCCTGGAATTGAACTCAGGTCTCTCACTTGCAAAGCGAGTGCTCAACCACTGAGCTACAGGACTCCAAATGAATGCCATGCAAAGCAACACTAGACTAGATAACTATTTAAAAGGTGCATATTGTATCAATAGTGCTATTTTTGTTTTTACAAAAGTATTTTAGAGATTTGTTTTTCTTTGCAATTTTTTCCAATGTGATTTATAATAACGGAATATTCAGTCTGACTAATGTAAAGGGTGATGTACAGCTTGTGTTGTGCAATAAAGAAACTGAAAGAATAAAAATCCAAGAATTGATGCTTAAATAGTAATAAAAAGATCCTCCTTTGTAATTAGTTTACAGTAATACACTCAGCAGTGGTTATGATTTTGTTTTAGCTTCCTATTTCTTAGATCCAAGCTGGGAATCGTGGCTGGGTGATTTATTCACACAATTTTGGCTTGGTGACATGAGTGCCAACTTTCATGCTGACAATTCGCAACATGGTCAAAAATGCTATAGTTGATTGCTACAGACACCCACATTCTTCCAGTGTTTGAAACATTCAAACACTTGAATTGTTTTTACAATAATATAGTTGCAAATGTAATATAGATGTAACTTGGGTGACTGCTTGGCTTAGGTAGTAATATTTTCACCTGAGTCAGAAAAATGTGGATTCACATCAGGACTTTGATTTTCACGTCTTGGCTGACACTCCAGCATTGTTTGAGGCGTCATTCTTAAAATCAGATGTTAAAGTGAGGTTTAGTGAGGCGACTGAGGTTTGCATTCCAAAAAAATGCTCCCTACACTTAACAGTAATTCCCCATGGAGTGCGTTGACAAGTTTATGCAGTTATATTCCTGGATGCCAAGAATAGTAAAGAGTGTATGCTTACAAACTAGAGAGAAATGGTTTCAAACTAATATTGTGATTTGATACAAAGATCCATTTTCTTCTCCTGCCATCCTGACAGCGTTTAACTCCACCTGATTCTGTTTTCAATCCTGAATTGCTTTCCACCTTAAAGGATAAATCTGCATTTTGATAGCTTGGGGTAAGAAATTGGAAATAAAGTGAGATAATGTCTGATTAGTTGCTAAAGTAGGGAAACTATAACAATTATAGTTGATGTAGGTTCAAAACAGTTTCTTAATACTTACTTGATCTTATATTTGGAATCTATTCCTGTTTTAGGAAAGATCTAATTCACAAAAACAAGAAAAAGAAAATCAACCTGCCATACCAAAATAGCGTGGCTTGTAATCCCCAATGCAACTTCAGACTATGCTTTCTTGGGTGCTCATCTCTCGTCAATGGTGCAATGTGATTATGCCAGTACACATGCTTCCAAATCACATGGGCACCTGGTTAACATTATTCAAACGTCCAGAATTATAAATCAATTACAATGCTTAAAATATTTGTAGCAATGTTGGTGTGAGTTGGTAGTTCATTCCTTGAAATTAAGAATGCACTGCCTGAAAGAGCAGATTTGATAACAGCTTTCAAAAGAGAATTGGTTAAAAAAGATTGCAGTGCCATGGGGTAAGAGTGGGGATGGCCTGAGTGGATCCCTGTGCTGTAAAATTCTATGATTCTGTTATATGATTAATGAAGCGGTGGAGTTGAAGGTGATTTTGGTGACATTGCATTTTGTATTAATTAATGGATGGTAATCAAGAGTGACAATAGGATGTCACATTGTACCTCATGTCTACTTTTTGTGGCGTAATTTGAAACTTTCTGTTAGGAGCTGAAATAGAATCTCCTTTTTGGTCTCTTTTCTTAATGTGACAGCTGCCATTGGCCTTCTTGCTAATCAGCCATTAGGATCAATATTCTTGAATGACACAAGGAAATAATTTTTTATTTTAGCGGCTTGAAAATCCTATCCAGAGAATTTTTTTTTGATGGGGCATTTTGAATAACACTTTCACTACAGTTTCCCCTAGAATTGAATGCATATTAGATACATTCAGTTCAATGTGTAATGTAATGATTGTGTTACATTCTTTCATTCCTTTATTGCCAATAAGTTCAGCAAAATCTCAGAAGCTTTAGTTGGCAATCTTAGAAGCTTTATTTTTTACATACTGTTAACTTCACAATTGTGGTCAAAACAATCAAGTTATATTTAATATACCACCCTTCACTCAGAGAGTTTAACAACAGTATACAGATGTGTTTTAAGCACAATGGTGATTATGTGATGGTAAAGAAAGTAAGCCAATAATTATTTTTGAGGTTACTCAAGCCTATTCCACAGAGGAGAGCAAGTGAAAGTCCAGGGAACGGACTTGCTGAACTATTTAAGCTTAAAAATTCAATTGTAGTTATTAATCATTTATATTTCCGTAGGACCTTTTCATTTAACATGTGCAATTGTTTAATCTCCTGAAACCACAGTGTTTAAAGCAATTAGTTAAATTATCAAACTTTGTTTTCTTACAAATTTTTAAACAAATGCCCAAGGAAAGAGCTGACTTTTTTTTGTTAATCTAGGTAGTTAACGAATGATTCAAAGCTGATTGCACTCAAAATTGGGAGCAAATTGGTTTGTGTTTAGCTGTGGAACTCTCTTCCCTCAATGCTTTCGCCTTGCCCCTACTTCCCATTTTCAGGTCGGGCTTGAAGATCTTCTTCCTCTTGTTGTTATGTTGCGTATTTATTGGAGAACCATTTGCCATGAATGCAGTAAGGTAATTTAAAACCAAAAAAAATGATTCCTTAATATTTCACACTTTAGTTTTATTTTAGAAGTGCTTTGTGATAACTAGATGTTTTATCAGAACATTAGGTTGTCATCTTATAGATGTATGTGACTTAATTTTTACAGCTAATTGTTTCTCTGTAGTATGAAAAATTTGCACTTTGTCTAACACTTGTAGTTATACTTTAGTATTGTAATTGTGAATTTAATAGGACACTGATTCCATTAATAGTTTCTTTTGTAACTTGTACTGCAGGCTTGCTTGTCGGGACACTTGATGTTGTGTTGGACTCCAGTGCTCGAGTGGCACCTTATAGAATCCTTTATCAGAGTCCTGATTCTGTAGTCTATTGGGCAGTTGCTTGTGGTAAGTTTTTTTTTCTTCTTCTTTAGTATTCTCATTAGAAATGACAAGTTTTTTTAAAAAAAATTCAAAAGTGCATTGTCAACAGTTATGAAACCCACATCCAGGCTCCTCCCATGTCTTCATAACATTACCTACTTCTGCCACCACTATCTCTGCAACCATACTGCCCCAGTTGCTCCCTCCACTCAGCTTTCTTGTGCCTGCTTCATAATAATCTTTGCATTTGATATAGTGCCTTACATTTTGAGACATCTCATAGTGCTTCACAGAATATACTGAAGTGAATTGACTGTATATTTTGTGGGCAAAACACTGCAGCCAATTGTATACAGCAGTGTTCCACAAACAGTTATGGATTGAGTGACCATATTATTATTTTTTGAAGGGATTATTATCCCTGGGAAGCAATTCTCCAATCGAACAATCGGGTTCCTATTTACTACTAGTTAAACAGATGCGTGTGGAGTAAGAAAACTTTCGGAACATTTCGCCCTGGCCGGGGATCAAACCCAGGTCCTCTCGCTTGTGAGGCGAGTGCTCTAACTACTAAACTGTAGGACTCCACAAAAGCTACAGGACTTCATAACAACTTCCCTACAATCAGTGGGTGAGCTTTCAGCCATTCTGCCTCTCCACTTCTGGAACTCCATCCTGGAGTCCTTCCTCACCTTCAAAAGCCAAGATCTATTTTTTCAAATGGCCACTTTTTTAACCCCCCCCCCCCCCCTTCCCGCAGATTGGATAAACTGAATTGTGTGAAGCGTTTTGAGATATCTTTTTGACGTGAACAGTGTTGTACCAAATACAGTTATTTTAAACTGCAATTATATAAGTTTGGTCTCACAAGGTTTTTTCAACAGTGCTACTAATGGAGCTTGGGTTAATATTCAAATTAGTTTATAACTGTAAAATTTATAACATGGCGTTACTGTGTTCTCAAATGTTCAATAAATAGTTTCCCTTCTTGAGAATGCCAGTATGCCAGTTTCAGTTTAACACAACTAAGATGTTTAAACAGTACAATAAATGGAACAAATGTATTTTTGGACACATGTTCTAAACAACCATTGTGCAATTGGTGTTGAGTAAAAACATTGAGAACAAAACTTTGCTTGTAAGTTATATATTTTTAGCACAGTTTCTCCACCCTCCAGCATGTTCTTGATTTTTTTTCCTCCCCCCACATCCATTTAATACATCTTTCAGCACACTACAACTTGTGCTTAACTTTTTGCAAAAACAAATTTCAATAAAGCACTGTTAATTTTGAATCCTGGATACTGAGTTTAATTTGTCTAGTCTTCATGATCACATCCATAAACAAAAACTGAAGAAAAGCAATATTGAAAAGCCCTTTCAGTTTCAGTGTTTAAAACATTAAATCTTGTTTTTTTGTTCTTCTACAGTAAGTTAATAGAAGATGAACAATGATGGAAACTTTGTTTATGGATCTACCATATTAACTCTTAATTTGTTGCTTATGTACGGAAGCTACAGTGGGAGCCACTTAACCCGGACATTTTGTCCAGCTGAGGCGGTGTCTAAGACCCGAAGTTCTCTTATCTCTTCCCGCCCAGCAGAGGAGTGTGGGAGTATGGGAAAGGGACCAATTAGTGGAGGCTCCGAGGTGATTGACAGCCTGAAGCCCTTGTGAATGGATTGCCACACCACCCATTCACAAGCGGCACCAGCTCTCAATCAATTGTAATTTGACTTCTCCTATTCCCTCCCTGGTTTCTTCCCTGTTCCTCCGCCCATCATTGTTTGACAGCCTAGAACTGCTTGTGAATGACTGTCATTCAATCACAATTTGCCTGATAATTGGAAATTATTGAATTAGATTAGTAGCTTCAAAAGCATCTTGAGATAAAACGTAACTGCTGATTAACAGTTTAGATAGATCAAGACTTGTTAAACATGTTTAATATTGTTATTTTCCTAGGTGGCTCGAGGAAGGAAATTACTGAACACTGGGAATGGCTAGAGCAGAATCTTCTGCAGACACTTTCAATCTTTGAAAATGAAAATGATATCACTACATTTGTAAAGGGTAAAATACAGGTAACCAGACAATTGATTGTACCATCAAAGCACTAACGATAAATACTAATATGAAAAATATAGACAGCCCTATTATAATGCGTTCTTATATATTTCACCCACAAAATACCCAGTCAATCCTTTAACAGCATATCCTGTGAATCGCTTTGAAACGTCTCAACATGGTAAGGCACTATATCAAATGCAAGGACTAACATAATAGGGCTAACATAACTGGGTTGGGGTGTGGACCCCATTGAGTGTGCATCCATGCAGATGGCCAAATCACTTATGTACCATCTAGCTTTTGCACTAACATGGCTGACTTCCAGGTCACAAGGTCACCTCCCATCTGATTTCTTGCCCTCAGTGGACTAGAAGTAATGTCAACGGAGACCTGATGATCTGGCAGTCAGCAGTTTTATCTTTCGCTAAAATGACTGACTTCAAGATTATCACAAGTTGGGAACTTGACCTGAAAGTCAGCAGGGTTTTGGTACAGGAACATGTTTGTGCCCACGCATTGGAAAACCAGCTGTTGTTGCCTTGTCATAAGTCAAGTTCAGATTTTAAGAACTCCCAACAACACCTTAGATTTAGGCATCATTGTACTATTGTATTCAAGTAAAGACTGCTGTAGCAAGTCGCTATTAAATTAGAATTGTATTGTTTAAGTTGAGTATAAGCATTTTAAAAAAAATGATTTGGTATGGGATACATGCCTTGAATAGATTTCACTAAATACTTCTTATAATATCACACACATATGCTTCTCTTAATATTCCCCACACACATGCTTCTCATAATATATACACACACTCACTCACACACTCCTCATTTTAATCTTTAATGATTTCATATTAGGCATGGCTTGGCAAGATTGATGGTCATTTTATTTTGAACCTACAATGTACAGTTTAAAATGTTATGCTCTATGCCAGGGATGATCAACATGCGGCCCGCATTATGCATGTGTAAAATAATCACGCGGACCACAAGTTGGCCAACCCTGTCCTATGTAATGAAGTGGACTTGCTGTTCATATATCTTTTCTGTGATTTTAGGGTATAATTGCAGAGTACAATAAAAATAATGATATAAAGGAGGATGACGACACAAATAAATTTAAGGAAGCTATATTGAAGTTCCGCAAACTATTTGGGATGCCGGAAGAAGAGAAGTTGGTTAACTACTATTCTTGCAGTTATTGGAAGGGACGGGTTCCTCGACAGGGTTGGATGTATCTCAGCATTAACCACCTTTGCTTTTATTCGTTTTTGTTGGGTAAAGAAGGTAGAGTATTCCTTTGCACTCTTTCCTAAACTTAAGTCATCATTTTGATATGAATGGCATTAAGGTTAATACAATGGTAACTCAACAATAAATTCAGCCAACAGACTGAGAAAGTTTGACCTGACTAATGAGTTTGTAATACTGTACAATATAATATTGAAGTGTCTGGCAGTTCAGTTTGAACTTTAACGATCCCATGGATTTAGTGAAAAAGAGAAAGGAGTTTCTTACAGTGTCTCAGCCAACAGTCTCCTAATAATAATTAAAAGATTGGACATTCTTTTGATGGCGGTTTGTGGGACATTGCTGTATGCAAATTAGTTGCCTACACAAAACACACAGTGACTCTGCTGTGGAGTGCTTTGAAATAAAAATTAAATATGAAAAATGTTTGACATGTCTGTTTATTAATATCTGAAAAAGATTTTCCTGTTTTCTAGCCAAGTTAGTGATCCGATGGGCAGACATTGTTCAACTAGAAAAGAATACCACACTACTCTTTCCTGAAATGATCAAAGTGAGCACGAGGTGCAGTGACTATATTTTCTCTGTCTTCCTTAATATTGGCGATACATTTAAATTGATGGAACAACTTGCCAACATTGCCATGAGGCAACTTCTTGATAATGAAGGTTTTGAAGAAGACAAATCACTCCCAAAATTGAAGAAGAAATCTCCCCAAAAAGTGTCTGTTTTAAAACGGTTAGTAATGTCACATCTTATAACTAAAAGGAATTTTCATCCTGCTTTGTGCACACTCATTTCATTGCACTGTACTTGTATGAAACTTGATGTCAAACTGGTAAAGGGGCATCAACTATCAGTTATTTCATTCAGCACTATGATTGCCAATTTACATTTATACGTGCTTTTCATGTCTGGAGACATTTCAAAGCACGGAGCTGACTGAGAGCCCAAGCTGGGGATGGGTGGAGATTAGGAAGATTTTGAGTAGGGAAAACAGTGTGACCAAAATGCAGTCAAAAACTTGAAGGTAGGGAGGGGGTGAGACTCTGGAATTGAGTTTGCCTACCCATGATGGGACAGATTGAGTGGGGTACTAAGTAGCTGGAGTGTTTGGGTTGCAGAGGTAGGATTAGGGGGAATGTTGGAGGGATTTGAATGCGAGGATGAGGATCTTGAATTTTATCTGCTGTGGTGAAGAATTACAGAGCCTGATGAGATAGAGAACACAAGTTGCAGAGTTCTGAGTGGTCTGCAGCTTGTGTAAAGAGAAGCTTGGGAATCTGCCATACAATAGTGCATACCATGCTCAGTGAGCTGCAATAAATTATTTTTATGTATTTTCTAGGGATCTTGATGCTAGAGCAAAGAGTGAGAGATACAGGGCGTTGTTCCGACTACCTAAAGATGAACGATTGGATGGACACACAGACTGCACACTTTGGACACCATTTAGTAAGATGCACGTTGTGGGTCAGATGTTTGTTTCTACCAATTATATCTGCTTCACCAGTAAGGAGGAAAACCTTTGCAGTCTTATCATTCCTTTAAGAGAGGTATGTATGAAATCCAACAATGTATTTGGTGTGTTGGAAGCAACTGTAGATGCATGAACTTTAATTCATAGATTACTAGTTAGCATTCTGCTATAAATATATACTCACAGGTATAATAATCATATAGTCAACAAATATCCGAGCATTCATCAGTGCCTCTGTGTAGCCCCACAAAAATTACTATTTCATGTCTGGATATTGCTCTCGCTTAAACTAGTTCATGTTCTCCGTGAAATGATCCATAAATATCCAAAAATTCTTTAGTTATATTAAGTTGCTTTTTATTCACAATTTCTGTTCTTCCAGCATCTCTTTATTTCTGTCAAACAAGAAAATTAGGGGAAAAGTTTAAAACAAAAAAAATGAAATTGGGATTTCCTTAAAAGGTGTCAGGCCAGACTGGGATCTCATATAATAATAATCCTTGCATTTGATATAGCACCTCATGATGTCTTCAGACATCTCAATTCGCTTCACAGAATCTTAGAAGTCCCGATATGGGGTTCAAACCCACAATTTCCTGACTCAGAGATGAGAATACATCGCCTGAGCTAGGCTAATACCTTTTTAGTGTATAAAAGGTAGTTGGGGGGAGTTGGGGGTGAAATCTAAAATGTAGAAAGAACCCTGTTGTATATTTGTTTCAGGTCACAATAGTGGAAAAAGCCGACAGTTCCAGTGTGCTTCCCAGCCCTTTGTCCATCAGCACCAAGAACAGGATGACTTTCTTTTTTGCCAATCTTAAGGACAGGGACTTTCTGGTGCAAAGAATTTCAGACTTTCTTCAGCAAACAACATCAAAAAATTATTTTGACAAGGAAATTGTTGGAAGCAATAGTTGTGACGATGAGGTATGTGTAACAAAATATTTTTAACAGTATTTGTGCAGTACATTATGAATCTGAAAGACTACTGTGTTATAATAATAATCCTTGCATTTGATATAGCACCTTATCATTTCTTTGAGATGTCTCAAAGTGCTTCTCAGAATATACTGCAAAGTGAATTGATTGTATATTTATGTTTTAAGTATTGAATTTCTTGCAGAATTGTGCAATAATTATGACGCTAATAAAACACATGGATATGTGCTCTTTTATTGACATTGTAAAGGTTTGTAGTCTTCAGATCAGCTTTTTGTAGTTAAAATACACCTTTTACTTAAAATGTTTCTTACTGTTTGCATTTATTGCTTAATGCACAATGGCAGCATTAAAGTATTTTCCAAGCAACTTGTCAACTGTTTGTCCTTCAGGTATTTTCAAGACAAAGCAGCATAATTTCAGGCAGTCCACAGAGAAGCCTCAGTTCAACTTCAGACACAGATGGAGAGCGCCAGTTCAATCAAAATGGGAACAGTGTTCCAACAGCCACACAAACGCTTATGACAATGTACCGTCGTAGGTCGCCAGAGGAATTTAATCCCAAAGTGGTACGTGTTTATTACAGTTTTTATATAACTACATGTTTATTATTAACCCACCATATTTGCAACAGCACCATGGTATGTGCTGTAGTCACTAGCTTAGAGCTGTAAAGTGAATTTCTATTCATTGTCGTGTTTGCCCTAACACTAGAGTTGATACTTGTGGTTAGTTATGGGTAAATTAACAACTTTGATAATCCCTATATTTCTGACCATCTGTATTTTTAATTGAAATTTGTACTTAAACTCAAAACCTAAAATTCCTAGTTTATTGTTTTGCATTTCTTTTAGCATCTTCCAGTACCATGCTTCCAGACTTCTGACAGACTCTGGAGATGCACATGAGACTTGTTTTTCTGTTGCCTATGAGGAAATATTAATGCTTCCATCTTGTAGCATCAGATGACTCAGGAGTATGTTATGTGGAAAACTAAGACTGGAGGTCTATACTCTAACCACCAATAGACTGAATGAACCCGAACATAAGATATTACCAGGTGTTCAGTGCTGAAAATTTCTGTTTCTACCTGAACTATTTCAGCACAACTGGATAACCACTAAAACCTCACTTAAAATAAATGGATGGAAGGGAAGTTATACTGCTGTCTAAGAAAACTTAGGGTTCTAAAGATTCAGTTAAGTAATTAAATTATGTAACTCCTACTCACCAAAGAAAGCATTATTTTAAAAAGACTTGTATAAAGAATGTTGAAATGTTTAAATACAACCCCATTATAATTCCCATATCTTACTTCCCATGGATATACACTAACAGAAGAGCAGTACACTCAGCTTCTGATGCTGAATAACTGGCTTTCCATGCTAAAAATTGTCAGACTGGGTTGTCCAATCACTGCTGATGTCAATTCCTGTGCAGTATATGTCACTGGTATCACATATTGTGAGCTATTTGCAGGAAGCGCTCAAAAGTCAGTCCTGCAGATTATGGCATTGCTCTTTCATGAAAGAAGCAATGTTAGGGAGCCTCTTTTACGCAGTGCTTAGGAAATGACATAACCTGGCCACCTGAAAATCAATTTTTCTTTTACACACACGTACTCTGCTTATAACCTGGGGCCTAGGATTTTGGATCCAGACGACCCAAGTTCCAAACAGTTGTTTTGTATTTGCTGTCAGTTGTGAGCCTATTGATGTTTATTTCTAATTTAAATTTAATAAATCTGTTGTATTTGCTATTGTACTATCCAGAGGCATGTATATTAATGTATTTGTTGCCATATTAGGCTAAGGAATTAATGAAGGAGCAGTCCTGGAAAATGCACTTTGCAGAATATGGCCGTGGAGTGTGCATGTATCGTACTGAGAAGACTCAGGAGCTTGTACTGAAAGGAATTCCAGAGAGAATGAGGGGTGAACTCTGGCTGCTGTTCTCAGGTGTGCAAACATAGAAAGCAACATTTCAACTTGTGTTGAGCAGAATGCTCTTTAATTTAGCTAATTTAGGTTAATTTTACTTCAGTGTTTTTTTTACAAAAAATCTTTTGAATAATAATTTTGAGCTTGTTAGAAAAATGTACTGAGAGAATTCATTTAATCCTGTGTTCATTCTTCCACATTGGACTTGACCAGGGATAATGCTGGGAGGCGGGGGGGAGAATCGTGGTTTGCATGTGTGAAGATGCTATTGTTAATAACATCTGCCCCCACTCTTTAGAACTCCATTCCACAATCCCTTTGCCTTGCTCGCTCTCTTGCTTTCTTCAAGGCATGACTCAAGAACCTCTGTTTTGACCATACCTTCAGCCACCCACTCTGCCCTCCCTCATCCCAACCCTGCCCTCCACGATCGGGTCCTGCTCCTTGACTGTTCAAGTCTGGGACATCCTCCCGATGTGAAAGCATTAATTTTGTTGTTGTTAAGGATGTGATCTAGTGGCTCTGGTAGCTTCTGTACCAACTGTGCACAACTTTATACATGAACAGGATTCTTGGTGTGACCCATCTCTTTATTAAATTAGAACTTAATCAGTTGCACAGGAGTTCAAATTGTATCCTTGCCTGGGATTCAATTGGTGATTGTTTTGAATTTTGACTTGGATGTTAGATAAGACTTTGAATGGAAGCGTAGTCCCCTCTTGAAGGGAGAAAAATTGGCAAAAAATGCAGGAATGTTGTTCTACGCTGCTGAGTATGTACGGTTTCTGTGGAGTTTTGTTTCTGTGGGGTTGATTATAGAAATCAGTAATTTCAGATTTTAGAATGTGTTCATTTGCCAAAAGCATGATAGCTTTAGCCATGAGCTAGTTACATTGAATTTAAATTAATCACGTTTAATGTGGAAAACACTGAAAGCTTATAATAAAAATCCTTACATTTAACAAAGCACCTTTCACTCTGGGAGGACATCTCAAAGCGCTTCAGAGGATATACTCTATTTAGTGTGTTGTGACTGTATTTTGTAAGTGAACATTTGGTGACATAGTGCATTTTTTAAATAGTTTTTCAGGTAAGTTGCAAGATTTTCTTTTCTTTCCACTCCTATCTCCCAATCCCCCACTATGAGCTGCGGAAAGAAACATTTATCTTGAATCATTCTAATTTCTGATTTCAGGAGCCATAAATGAAATGGCTACCCACCCTGGATACTACTCTGAGTTGGTGGAGAAATCAATGGGAAAGTATAATCTTGCTACAGAAGAAATCGAGAGGGACTTGCACCGTTCACTGCCTGAGCACCCTGCATTCCAGAATGAGATGGGGATTGGTGCTCTCAGAAGAGTCCTCACTGCATATGCTTTCCGAAACCCCAACATAGGATATTGCCAAGTCAGTTGATGTTCCAGTATTTGATTTTAATGTACTGGCTTAGAATTGTAAAAACATCAAAAAACAGTGACTTTAATTTTGCAAGTATTACAGTATACGTTTGCTTAAATATGTGTAGTTGGTCCATGAAGTTCATGCAGGTGACGTTGGAAGATCAGCTAAAAGACAATTCGTTTTCTATTAAATCATGGAGTGGGAAATTCAGATAGAAGTTATTCCGAATTTGTAAACAATGTCTTCTACTTCTTCAAACTTTGCCCTTTATCAGATTGACTAATTAGTCAACCTGATAACCACTTTCGTAACTTTGGAAATTTCCACTAGGTTAAGCCTAAGTTTTCTCCATTGTGATGAAAGCTATAGTCAGTCTATGTATCTATTCCTCGATATTTGAATTTCTTAGGCCTGATATTGCAGAAGGCAGACAAAGCTGTGTTCTAAACCATATAGACAATGTTTAATGGACAACCTGGATGAAATCTGAAAGTAGATGTTTTCAATGTATTCCTCACCTAAGTCTTTAGATGAACAGATTTTAAATCCAATTGTCAGGCTAAGGGAACCATTTAATACATCAGTAAGGTCAACACCTGACTTGCTGATTATTTATTCTCTTACTGTAATGATTTTACTTCACATTTCATTAGAAATGTTGAATTAACTGTTGCTTAACTTGTAGTTTTGGTGGTTGGTTGGAATTGATCTGTTTTATTTTATCTGCTTTAAACGCATAGTGTCAAAACGTAGTTTAGTGCCCGAATGCCATTTTCTATATGGTGGTATTTTGGTTGGACAATTTTCAACCTTTCATTTCCAAAATATCTAACTATTTGTAGCCAGGCTATCTGTCAAATGTAATTTCTTTGGGTTTTCAGAGGGCAAATGCTGAACATTTGCAAAACTTTCAGCTGAAATGCACTGAGATTTAATTGCACTTTTGCTAGCTGGCTTAAAAGCTGGCTTGTCAATCGAAACACTAAAACGAACTGTCTGAGGCAGTGACTGCTGAAAATCTTCGGAGGTGTTTTTTTAAATAATCTGCTGGGCTGTTTAAGTATTCCGAGAACAACAAAATGCTTTTATATTTCAATGATCAGTGTCAGCCTGGTTCAGTGGTAGCACTCATCTCTGAGTCAAACCCCACTTTAAGATTCCAGAACTTGTATAGTGTAGGCTGACACTCCATTGCAGTGAGGGAGGGGCGCTATATTGCCAGAGGTGGCATTCTTCAGATAAGATGTTAAACTGACTTTTGTCTGCCTATTCAGATAGATGTTAAAGATCCCACAGCACTATTTGAAAAGAGAAGGGAGTTTTCCTCATGTTCTGGCCAACAATCCCCCCAAAAATTAGTCTTTCATTATATTTCTGTATATAGACTGCATAAGGTAATTTTATTCTTGACTAATCTAAAACTTGAGTTCACAAACAATTAGCTTGTCAACATTGAGTAGCTTTTATAACATCACTATTGGTTAAAAGAATACCTTATTTTTTTTAGGTTAAAACAAAGTTGTATTGATTTTCCATTGATAGAAAGTTGCTAAATATTAGTTTTTTTATATATGTGGAAATTTGCAGGCAATGAACATTGTCACCTCAGTACTGCTACTATATGCAAAAGAGGAAGAAGCATTCTGGTTGCTGGTTGCACTCTGTGAACGGATGCTGCCAGATTACTACAACACTAGAGTGGTTGGTAAGTAGTATTTAGTTACTGAAAGTGCAGCCATTAAAGCTTAGCAGTAATGCATCTTTAATGTTGACTAATGTGAAATGATATATGAATTAAAGGTGCATTGTCATCTCTACCGGGGCATTAAGCAGAGCGTTTAGTTAAATCATACTGACGATGCCACTCTGCAAACTAACATTCTTTTTGCATTCTTATGACATCTGTATGTACAATGAAATTCTGTAACCATCATTCTTCCTTTCTAAATTCTGGTCTCTTGCATCTATGTTGATACTTTTGTGCATAATAGCCCGCTGTCGTCAGTTGTTCAAATTGGAGTATGTCAAATTATGGGCTATTGTTTCAGGATGGGAAGAGTGCTGAGGAGAAATCCACTGTTAATTAACTCCCATGGGAAGAGTTTTGACAATTTGTTCGCACCATATTTAGTTTCAATTGGCCTGTCTACAAGGTCTACTGGTCTCTAATGTGTTCCACTCATCTTCTGTTCCATCCTGCTCAATTCTACTGTCAGCTCTAACTTTGCTTCCTTCTGTCCTTAGTCAATCTGCCTCTGACTCTTGATTTATGAATTATAATTTTTTTGCCCATAAAATAGTCAATTCACTTTACAGTATATTCTGTAGCTCTTTGAGATGTCTCAAAGACGCGATAATATGCTATATCAAATGCAAGGATTATTTATTAATAATTAAATAATAATTTAATTAAATTGAGGATTATTATTTAATAATCCTTGCAGCCCAAATTTCGAGCCTATTTTGACAGAACTGATATTACAGTGTAATGCTGAATGATATCAGACAAGAGAGCTGTCTGATGTTAGTGACAAAATGTACTGCTGCTGAAATTGATCTGGAAAGTTATGAATAGGAGGAAACAGACATGTAGCTCTTCTGCAACCATAATATCCTGTCTTTAATGCAACTAAATATTCTTTCCTGATAAATATGAATCAATTAGTCTGGTGTGTCTGAATTTTGGATTAAGGCCTTGTTGAATGTATATTCTTTATTGCTGTCTGCTGGTATACTTGCAGATAACCCAGCTCAATTTCTATTGTGAATCAAATCTAGAGATGCCTGGAAATGCATGCACTGGTTATTAATGCTTTGTTTTTATCCAGTATCTTTAACTATTATTTGGTTTGGATTCTCTTTAAAAGTATTCACATATGTATGTAGCAATTGAAGTGAGCATTCAGGAAAGATGTGCAGAATTGTTTAAGTTTTAGTCTTTTGTTGCTTCCAAGTTAAATATTTTGGCTTGCAACAACTTTATTTCAAAGGTTCAATGCTGATTTATCTTGTTTTTCTTCTAGGAGCATTGGTAGATCAAGGTGTGTTTGAGGAGCTTACGCGGGATTATGTACCTCAGCTCTATGACTGTATGCAAGATTTGGGTGTCATCTCCACGATCTCGCTCTCCTGGTTCCTCACTATCTTCCTCAGTGTAATGCCTTTTGAAAGTGCTGTAGTTGTTGTGGACTGTTTCTTTTTCGAGGGAATCAAAGTGATCTTTCAACTTGCTCTTGCTGTACTGGATGCTAACATTCACAAGCTTTTGTATTGTAAGGATGATGGAGAAGCCATGACTATACTTGGAAAGTAAGTTCATTGTAATTTTTACTTCTTGTAAATTTACTGCATGCACCAAAGAGATCTAAAATTATTACAACAACAAATTACATTTGTATGACATGTGTTAACTTGCAAATAAGTATGTTTTACTAAGTTTGACTAAACCAAGGTTACTACTTATGCAAGGTAGATTTTGACTACTCTACTTGCCTCTTCCTTTCACAAGCTGCAGACTATCCATTACTCTGCAATTCATGTCCTTTCCTGCACTAGGCTCATTAAGCCTATCACCCCCATGGCTGGCTCCCCATCCTCCAGTGGATTGAGTTCAAGATTCTCATCCTAAACTTTAAATCCTCCATGGTCTTGCCCCACCCTACCTCTGTGACCTCCTCAAACCGTACCAACCTGACTGCTCCCTCCGCTCAGTGAGCATTAACCTGCTTCACATCCCCTCCTCCAACATTGGTGGTCACTTTCAACATATCTGCCCCCACTCTCTGGAATTCCATCCTCGCCCCTTCCCTCACCTCCTTCAATGCCTGCCTCAGAATTGACCATATTTCTGGCCATCTTTTCACAGACCCCCATCCCAGCTTGGATGTGAACCCTGGACTGTCTTGGGATAAGTTCCTAATGTGAAAGGCGCTATATCAAATACAAGGATTATTATTATATAAATGTTAATTTGTATAGTGTAAGCCATCTATGGTGCTTGTACAGGCAAATCTATAGATGTCTGTCCATAATGCTATAGGCAAATAATACCAAATCATTCTTGGAAGCTTGCAGAATTAGTCCATTTTGTGCTGCAATTTATACGGTTGCAGCTGCAGAAAACTGAGATGAGTCAGATGTCAGTTATTGCTTCTTATCCCTTAATCTGAAGTAGTCAATTCTTATGAAAATAGAAGCCCTTTTCTCCAATGTTGATGCAACTATTTATATGATACCTTTCATATTGGGTAAAGTGCTTCAGGATGTACAGGAGCACCAAGCAGGATAGTAATTCTTGCATTTATGTATTTAAATTTTATATTTCAACTAAAATGCAAGAGAAATGTTAAAATTAGATGAAGACTTGCACATGAACTATGTTTGTTCTCCAGATATTTGGACAGTGTGACAAACAAGGACAGCACATTACCACCGATCCCTCATCTACATTCTCTTCTCAGTGATGACGGAGATCCATACCCTGAGGTTGATATTTTCAAAATAATCAAAACCTCCTATGATGTGAGTACAACTGATTCAAAATTAATTTTAGTAAAGGATATTCTCAGTTTTAGAAAGTATTCTTCATTTTATGTTCTGATGTTGTAATGCTAAAGAGGTGCCTAGATAATACGGGGAAGAAAATGCATGAATCAAATGCCAATATCAAATTGGTGTAAGGTTTGCAGGAGTTGTGTCAACTCGATATGAGTTGACACAAAGATTCAAAGAAAATGTCTTCTTCACACTCAAACAACAACAGTCTCTGAATTAGCGTTGCTATTATATTATTACATCAGCATACAGGTTTATCCAGCGTAACAATTGAAATGTATATTACCTGCGATAACACCACACTCCGACTGGAGTAAGCCCTCCTTACGGACCTCACTACTCTTAAAAATGAGACCATAGATACAGTAGAACCTATCGATTCCACTGGGAAGTGCGTTGACCCTCTACACAACTCCAACTATTTCAAAGTTATATCTTTTGTGTTTCTAACTCCGCCTCCCCTTATCACAGAGATAGCCCACACCCTTCGCAGGCTACTTTGCAGGGAGAGCAAAATATGGACAACTTCTCGGCAGCCTTCCACAGCCTGCTTGTTTTTTAGCCTTGAGACAGGCAGGTGTTGAGGCTGTAGCCATTTAATCAGAAGCTGACCTCAACCGGTCCAACAAAGCTACTTTTAACCCCGCTACGCTCGTCACTAAATCAAATAAACCTTATTAAAAGTTTATGGGTAAGTTACATTCTAAACATATATAAAGATTAATTAAAAGCCTTAAAAAAATTAAACATCACAAATATAATCTTACAATTTAAAATTATTGATTAAATTGACTTGGGATGTCCTCTCAATATGAAAGATGCTATATAAATGTTTTATTGTAATTGATTTTTGATAAACTTATTGCGGTTTAAAAATAAGCAAACTATCAGGCATTGCAGTTTTTAAAATTTGACTTTGCAGAAGCTCATAGCCTCCTCTGCAGTTCAATGCATACGATGAGATCATCGGCATTGCAAGCTATAAATAACTCGGCTCCTGGGGCATAAATGGCACGTTGTTTGGTGTGTGCTTGACATTTCATCAGTTTCTTTTTTAAATTCATGGAAAATAACAGTTTAAAAATATTTTAAATGGACTACATTTTACTCTGGTGTGATTTATACAGATTACAGTACAGTAACGCCACTGGAATATTGAAAACATTTTCTGTTGCTGAACAAAGTACCTTTTCATTTTAACAGAAAGGAAAATTGCATTGTGCCGGTTATCACACAGCTTGATCTAACTGCAGGCTTAGTCACGTGCTTTACTTATTGTTATCAATTTTCCAGAGCCTTAGCCTTAAATGACATTTTATTTCAAAATGCAGGCTTTTTCTGTGAGCATGAAACAAGTGATGTTTGTGTGAAATAATGCAGTATATTAGCATCCATCTTAAATGTCAAAGCAAGAGGGTTGTTTTGAAAGGTTTCACAGTGTTTGTGCAGAGAATTACAGCTATGCAAGTACATTACTGTAGATTTATTTTTTAGCTTGGTATTTCTTGTGTTTTTGAAGCCTAAGATTTTTTAAAACTACCTTCTGGCTTTACCTGTACTCCGACTAATGTTGTATCAAACTTAATACATTAGAACCCCATTGTAACAATTTTCATTTTTATAGCACCTTTCACATTAGGAGGACAGGTCAAATGACTTTACACAGTTGACTGTACACCCGAGTTCAGGTGGGGTGGAAGTGAGGGTCAGTAGCAGGGGTTAATGATGACCGAAGGCGCAGTCATAGATGGATTTTAAGGTGGGTTTTAAAGGGAGGCGGGAGGGATGAGGCAAAGGGATTGAGTTACAGAGAGCGGGTGTAGAATGTCAACAAGACACCTAGGTTCCTCACTGGCTCCATGAGGTGGAGTGAACATCTGTGAAGGTTAATGTGTTTAGTGCCTGAGGTGAGAAGGTGCTGATGGGAGCCAAATAAGTAGAGCCTTTGTCTTTGTTGGCATTCAGTTAGGAGATGGGGTCGAAAAATTTAATAAGGGATACAACCAGGTGCAATTGTTCAGCACACCAAATGGTAGTCATTGTATCAACACTTCAAAATGCCAGCCAGCGCACAGGAAGCCAAAATCGCCAATTCTGGGGTATTATGTCACGGTTGATGCAACTTCCTGTATGTGAGCATGTAGGAAGTGATGTATGTGCGACTTTGACCTGGATGGAAATCAACCATTTTGGCTTCTCGAGCGCCGATAAAAGGTTGAATCACCCATGGATTTGATTTGTATTTTAGATTTTTGGGGTAAGGTAAATGTCAGAATCCACATCCCAAACAAACCTGCATTGTAATGAGGTCCCACTATATTTTATTTTTTATACCATTCTCTTGAACAAACTGTTCTATAATGTTATACAGCATTTTACTTTCACTTTGGAAGGTATCCAGATATTATCAAATAAAATCTTAAATATTATAAAGAGATATCACTACTCTTAGCACAGTTTCTTGCTTGCTCCTGATTACCAAAAGCATTTCACTTTGTGTAACAAGCAGGCTGCACTTTAATGCAGCATTTACAATTTGACAAGTTTTATCTTGAACACATTTGCAGAATTGAACTCTTTTAAATGAGATCGAAATCTGTTCTTGTTGTATTCCTGCTTGCAATCCTTAGTGAAAATAAAGCATCCCTTAAACCTGTTAGTCACCTCCTTTTGTGAAGCATTATTTGGCGTGATCACAAACCAACATGGAACCTATTGGAGTATGTTTTAGACTGTCAGCTCAATGAAGGTAATTGTCGTGAGTGTCAACAGATGCTCTGTAATCCCATATGGCTACGACTGAGATCACAGTTGGCATCTTTTGGCATGTCCCCTCACTTAATGTGAGAGCAAAAGCATTTTGATAATTAACTATCATGTGCTCATGCAAAAGTTTTGGGTCTTATTGTTTTCTTAAATCATTAGCTTCATCAGATAGCTGGCAATTGTACCTTAATTCTAACTTCCTACCTTAAACTTAGTTTCTAAACTTATTTGTCTTCTACCATTTATTTTGGAAACTGGGAGCAATTTTGTTTCATTATATAATTTGTTTTGGACTGACCTGCCTGATGTTTAATTTTCTCAGAAATTTGGTACCATCAGAGCCGATGTGATTGAACAGATGCGTTTTAAACAGCGACTAAGAGTGATTCAGACTCTCGAAGATACCACAAAACGCAATGTGGTGAGTGCATTTATTGAAAATATTCTGCATCAGTTAAATTATTTCTTGATTATTGACATTAAGTGTCAACAGGTTGTCTACAACAACGATTTTTCAAAGAATGTGGTTATCAGGAGCAACCAAGAAACTGTCCTCAGAGTAGCGATATCTCCCTTTATAATATTTAAGATTTTATTTGATAATATCTAGATAACTTCTAAAGTTACAAATAGCAAAACTTTGTCACTTAAATAGAAGCCAACTTTTTTTGTGACAGCGTATAATTCAACTTGTGGCTTGTAATTTTAAAATTAATTATTTACCAGATGTCTATGAAGGAATAAGCATTTAGTTTCAATTTTGGGGGGGGAAAAGAAAAAGCATTATACTATGTAGTTTGTATTCCTAAAGATCTGAGGGATTTTCATTTGAACATTTCCATTATTTTGTTTGTACAACAAGTATTTTTTTTTAAACCAGACAAATTTATATTATAAAGCTGTTCATGCAGACAGCTGAGCTTCCCCTTTCTCTTCAGAGATTACATCATCTTTAAAAAAATCTTCCTTAATAGGAATGATTAATTGCCCTGGTGGTTTAAAATCCAGCTTCCTGGAATCGTGAGCTATAAAGCTAGATTAATCTGTGATTCGATTAAGTATACAGCAGCCATACTTTTCAAACTCTGCATTTCATGCAATACATAATTGGCATGTGGTTGATTTTAATTCAACTGAATGGATTTTCTCAATTAATGACCTTGAGCTTGTAGTTTGTTGAGGGTGTCTGGCAAAAAACAGTTGTGATATTGCATATTGTAAGTATCCCTTTTTCCCCCATTTTCTCCCCCCTTCAGCCTTCTCCCTCACACCTATTCAGAGAGGGCAAAATATTTTGAATTATTTTAGACTCCAAATGCTGTAAAGCAATTATTGGTGAATATTAGTGGACATTATGGACTTGCTGATGTGTTTGCACACTGGGTCTACCAGTATTGTTCAATCCTGTCTGAAGACTATCCAAAATGAAAAAGAGACAGCCTATGTTAAGGTTCTGAAAGTTGATTGAGTTTTGCTCACATCAACTGATGTCATTATTAGAAATAAATACCTTTATATTTTAATGTGAATCCTTTTCTCTTTTGTTCAGGTTCGAGCTATTGTGACAGACACTGCATTCACCATAGATGAGCTGGAAGAACTTTATGTCCTTTTTAAAGTAAGAAACTATTTTGTGTGACTGGAACTCTAATTTGTAATCTTTTCAAGCTGTATTCAATGCTAATTGCAATTTTTGCTTTTTGCAATATTAATGTATTTAGCATTCAGGATTTATATTGATCCATCCCACACAAATGGAAATTAAGGTTTTTCTCTAGGACATCTGTTAACTATCCTGGTTCAGTCTGATACTCAGGAGAATTAAGGCCACAATACCATAGTACAAATCTGCCCAGAATTCTGCACTAATTGGTCAGTGTTAAATAGGGAGGCCATAAAGCTGTTAACCTTGGGTGGTGTATAATCTTAGTCAAATCAGGTAGTTATTGAGCTAGGCAAAGCCAATCCTCCATTGTATTGTTGATGATTGCCTCTTGTTACAGGGTGGATGACAGGGATTTGATTAGGAAATTAAAAGGAAACCTTTTCTTTCCATCTTTTTCTCTCAGCTGCAACTGGGAGCAAGTTCCAAAAACAAAGGGTTTGAAAACTGACTTTTATGCAAATCCAAAAAGAATATTGGATCAATTGTATAACAGATGACAAACAAATCTGTTACCCACATAGAAATATTGTGTGTCTACATATGAAGCATTGATTCCATTTGTTTAGTCAGTCTGAAATTCACTTTGTAAAAAANTGTTGATCCTTTTCATTTCACCACCTTCAGGCAGAGCATCTCACCAGTTGCTATTGGGGTGGAAACAGTAATGCTACTGAAAGGCATGATCCTAGTCTGCCTTATCTTGAACAGTACCGCATTGATTTTGAACAGTTCAAGGAATTGTTTGGACTTCTTTTTCCCTGGTCGTGTGGTGCCCATTCGGATGTATTAGCTGGCCGCTTATTTCGACTACTCGATGAGAACGGAGACTCTCTCATCAACTTCAAAGAATTTGTTACAGGATTAAGTAAGTAGAAATGATTACATTTTCTCTTAGCCTACAAAATACACAATTACTGCACTTTGCAGTCAATCTTGTGAAGCACTTTGAGAGGCATTAAATGGAAGGAACATTATTGTTTACATTCGCTAGGGGTATTCATTTGTGATTTGGGTACATTTAATGTTTTAATCTCTAAACAGAAGTTTTAGTGGTTGGTGTAAGATGTAAAAGTTCTGTGTGAAACCCCACTGCTGTTGGTGCCAAATCACACTGCTATGTCCTCTTTAACCACCCCTTTGACCACCCAACTACCCCTGCCTCCACCCAAGCCCTGCTCGGGTTCAAGCCCTGCTCGGGTTCAAATCTCTGACTATCAAGCGCCTTGGGACATCCCCCCAAAGTGAAAGACACTATACAAATGTTTGTTGTTATTAAGCACTCAGACACTACCCGCATGAAGGGCGTTATGTACTCATTTATGAAGAAAAATGGGTGGGGGGGGGAGAGCAAGAAAAGGTCATGTTCGGATTTTACACACACAAAAAATAAATAGAATGAAGAAACTATTTGAACGTACGAATGGTGTACTGCACCATTGAATTGGGGGTTAAAAATCACTCCTGAAAGTGATGACGCTAATAGTTTTGCTACAGGAAAATGTGCTTTTGAAGCATAAATTGGATTTTTTGCAAGAAAATAATTGAACGTCACACCAACTTGCAAGACGTCAACTCCAACCAAAATTGCCTTGAAGCAAATGTACCAACTTGTTTCTAACTTTTGATAACTTCATAGACAAAGTGTCCCAAGACAATGTGACATAACCATGATTCCTCTGCAGAAAACTTGTTATGTAGCTTTTACGATGGTTACCTCATTTAAGTGCTTTTTAATCTCGTTGTTGTAACCAGACATTGTAGCATGTGTTTCATAAGAAAGGGAGACTTGAAATGGTGGGTTCTGACATCCTGAAATCATAAGATTTTTGAACAGATATGCTGCAAGTAGTTTGACCTTTCTCAACTGTACTTTAATAGTTGAACCTTTTTTAAATTTACCTATTAATTAGGTTTATGTTTTTATAGGTACAATGTGTCATGGAGATCTTGTGGAAAAGCTGAAACTGCTGTATAAAGTGCACGTACTTCCTGGTAAGAAAATCTGTTTAACATAGAGTAAAACTGATGGTTGGTTCCATTTATTTACACATTGTATTTGAAACTCCAGAACTAAATTTGTATTCAGGAAGTACTAACATGTCCAAGAAAACCTGCTGTTTCCCATGAAGATTCATACTGATAGATTCTACAGCTGATGTCAGCTGAGTTTGGAGAACAATGCAATGCTTCCTACACGATGGATTTCCAAATATTTATGAAGACAATTTTATGGCTTATTACTTGCCTTTTGATATTTTCAACAATTCCTATTGAATTTGCTTTCACATTGAGTGGAAATTGACTGTTTTGCTTGATGCTTGTTGGCCATTCTACCACAAAGGTAACATAAGGAAATATTCAATTGCTTTACTTAAATGTGCCTTTTTTTAAAAAAAAACTGTGCTATATGAAGTGGTATTAATTGGGAGGGAAAAGTAATTGGTACTCATCTGGCATCGCTATTTGTGCACTTTATACTGTGCTTTTGGTGCTTAATCGCAGTGCACGTGGCAGTGACTTGCTGCCAGAAATGAAAAAGCTTATTTGGGATTGCAGTATAAACTATGCAGGAGCCTATTTCTTGTGGGACACTGCTGGCTGCCACATTTGGCCCACAAAATTCACTCAATTCACTTTACAGTATTCTTTGAAGTGCAATATCAAGGTGTGAGAAGGCGCTGTATCAAATGTAGGGTTTATATTATTATCTGGAGGACTTTTATGAACTGCTTCAGTGAGTGTACACTTACTCCCCTGTTCGCTAGTCAAAACTCAAGTTTTTCAGTGCACTTTTTTAATGCTTTTATTGAGCTATGTGCATGGCTATTTCTTTAATTCAGAACAATGTACCATTTTGACATTCTGCTTTGAGCACCAAAATCAGGTGCTGGCTTCTTTGGCCATGATTTGCAGTGATGCGAAGTGGTTGGAATAACTCAGGCTTCCTGCTCCACATTGTTATACTGTTGGGTCTAAAGTTGCTTTACTCACAGAAATAAATGTGAAGCATTATATCCATGCAATAATTGGAACCACATTAAACTTCATTCCAGAATGTCCAATTATCTTGGTGACAACTGTCATGTGCTTTCTACAGATGGATTTAAAAACAAATGACTATTAAAAGTTACAATCGCTTTATTAATTCATGTTGGTTAGCTTTCTACCAGAAACGAGAGTTCCTCTATACAGAAATCTATGAAACTTAATGTATAATTGCTTATTCAGAGCCCAGAAATACTATTATAGACCTTATATAAATTCAAATTCATCACTACTGAGTTAATGAGCGATTCAGACTTGGAAAATAAATATTTCATTCTCGGTTGTTACAAGCAACACTTGTTGTTCCAGAAGGTTCTGGTTAAAGCTCTTTAACAAAAGCATGCAACTTTTAGTTTTTTTTCATATACAGTAAACTCCTAATAACTTGACCCTGGCTTAACTTGTCAGTATCCTGGCTGCATTTATTCATGTATTTATGCATATGCCTAACTTGTCACTGAGTTGTTTTCCCTTGGAGTGACGAGTTATCAGGAGTTTACTGTATTACTGTTCCCAGAGCCAGTTTTTCCTGACCATGGAGACCCTGACTCAGCATTTGAAGCTACCCAATACTTCTTTGAAGATATGACACCAGAAACTGTTCACGGTAGGTTTTATGGTGTTCAATATGACTTGGTTTGTATAAAAGATGTGGGCAGAAGTTACAAGGCTGTAATCCAATTAATTATAATTAACTTATACAAATCCCTTCATGCCCTGGCTCCTCCTTACCTCTCCAACCTGGTTACTCCCCACTCCACCACCCACTGCCTCTGCTCGGCTGGCTCCAGCCTACTTCTTGTCCCTTGTCCCCTTTGCTCCACCATTGGCAGCTGTGCTTTAAGCCATTACATGCTGAAACTTTGGAACTCTCTCCCTCAATCCCTCCTCCTTGCTCCTCCTTCCCCTTTTTCAGAATGGTAAATTCTTTCCTCTCTCTCCCCACACCCCCGGGCTTGGTATCAGGCCACTATTAAGCGCCCCGATGCTACCCTGCATGAAGGGTGCTGTATAAATGTCTTTGTTAATGGGTTCAACAGCAGTTAGTGAAGGTACTAACTGATAATCTTGATTGAAGTTCAACTTTCATTTATAGGCCTTGCAACTCCCTCCAATGTCTTATTTTCTGCAGTATTGTATGTAAATAATTTAAACTTTTTTTTTATCATTTGCACTGAGAACAGTTGTGAACTTGAGGTGGTTTGATAGTAGACGCATTGTGATTGGGTTACTGATTTTAAAATTATCAATCAAAAATTCAAAAAAAATCTGATTTCCATATCTTGGTCTGGTTTGGATGAGTGGACAAGCACACTTGAGTTGCAATGTCCTACTGTATTAAGAGATCAGTACAACTTGTAATTCCTGTCATTTTGTTGGATATGCATGTTGACTTGAATGTCTGGTAAAATACTCAAATATGCTATTTACAAAGGTCCAATAGTTTAGTGGAACTGATTGAATTTGAACTAACTAAAATAGATGAAAACAGATTTGGCAGGGGATGTTGTCAACTTGGAGTCCTGTAGCTCAGTGGTTAGAGCACTCGCCTCGCAAACGAGAGACCTGGGTTTGATTCCTGGTAGGGTGAAACCCTGGGCAAATTTCTTTACTCCACACGCCTGCTAATAATCCCTCAAGAAAATAAAACAATAATAATTTGGTCACTCAATCCACGATTGTTTGTGGGACACTGCTGTGCGCAATTGGCTGCCACATTTCATCCACAAATATACAGTCAAGTCACTTTACAGTATATTCTGCGAAACGCTTTGAGATATCTCGAAGACATGAAAAACGCTATATCAAATGCAAGGATTATTATAACTGAGACTTCATATGCGTGCACTTTTTTATATTAAAAAAAGGCCTGAGTTAGTCTTTTGGATCAATATTTTATATTAATTCTTGACTGGACAGTCGTGCTTTCTTACAACTTGGAGTAATATTTCTTGTGAAGACAAATGTACTTATTTGCAACTGTTAATGGTGCCCTAGCTTCCAGATTTTTATTTGAAGCAACTGGTTGCAAGATTAATATTGACTACATCGGTATGGTGCAGATAACACAAATTTCTTGAGTGGCGAGAGTTATTAATTTTGCCCAGGAATTACAAATGTGTTTTTAAAGTTATAATTTCTATACTTTGTTACATAGAATTTATCATTTAAAGCACCGTGTTTGAGGACATGATTGCCTTTGGTGGTTAATTGTAAGAAAACTAGCTTCAACATAGCTAAATGGAAAAATGTATTGCAGCTGAATTGGTAGAATGAGTGTGGTAACTTAAGGCCAATTAATTTTTCCTCAGTTACAGAAATGGAATCAAAGTCTAAAGGTGAAACAGAAGATGGCTTTGTCACTGTAAATCTCAGAAACGAAAAAGGTAAGATGTTATTTAACCTTTTAAACTACAGGAGCAAATTTTTTTTAAAAGTGTTAAAAATAACCCATTTATATACTTTTTAAAAATAAATTCTAACATGATACATTGTATTGGAACGTTTAAATGGTGAATTGTGTTGTCCCAAATGCATAGTGGGAGTGGTTTTTAATTGCTCCAGTTTCTGTAGAGCATGAAATACTGTTGTGCAGAACTCGAATGCCTATTTGTATACTTACCTCTGTCTTTCAGCAGAGAAGAGGCCAAACTCGCATGATTATCGGCATTACATCAGGATGTGGGCACAAGAAAGGGAGACCAAGTTACAAAATATCAAAGACCTGCCGAAACTGAATCAAGTACTCAGAATTTTACTCTACTTTTAGTGTTACATGTTCATATCCAGTCCATTGCTAAAATTGTGTTCTTCCACCTCTAGAACATTGTCCTCTTTAACACCTTTACTCAAAATCCTTTTTGTGTGTTTGTCATCTTGAGGATAGACTTCGCCAGTGCCTTGCCACGCTCCCTAGCTCCACCTTCCACAATCTCAAAATCATCCCAAACTCTGCAGCATGTATTCTCTCTTGCAATAGGCTCACTGATTTACATCGTGCATCATCCAATTCTCCCATCCTTGCCTAACATCTTTATTCTTGCTTCCTTCTTGGTTCTTAATCATATTTGTTAAGCGTATTGAGATGTTTGTCATATGAAAGATGCTATGTATGTGCATCTTTTTGTTCTAACAAAACAGAAAACTGACAGTTTTTCTATTTCTGGATACTGATTGTATTGTATGTTTCTTTGTCCCGCACAGGAACAGTTCATTGAACTATGTCGGACACTGTACAACATGTTCAGTGAAGATGCAAATGAACAAGAACTGTATCATGCGACTGCAGCTGTAACTAGTTTACTGCTGGAGATTGGGGAAGTGGGAAAACAGTTCATCTGTCAATCATCCCAAGAACCAGGAAGCAGTCATGAGATTAAAAGGAAAATGTACCAGAAAAAGGAGAATGAGTCATTACATTGTGGACAGGGTGATTCCTTCTGTCCCATCCTAAGTGAAGTGGATGGTGGAAAGAAGGCTTGCAGTGAGATGCATGATATTAAATTGGATGACAGTTCACCAAAAGACAATGGAGTAGCTTCAGTGATGCTGATTTCAGATGATGAGACTAAAGATGATACTTCAATGTCCTCATACTCAGTGCTGAGTGCTGAATCTAGTGAGGATGATAAATTACAGTGTGAGGATATCACAGAGGACACAGTGCTGGTGTGCAATAACCATGAGACCCCTCTTCCAAAGAGTGGTAGCATTGACAAAGCCTGGGCTATCACCTTTGAGCAGTGTTTGGCTTCCGTTCTAACAGAGACAGCACTGGTCAGACACTTTGAGAAACCTTCTGTAATGATGGCTGTAATTACAAATGCTAAGAATATCAGAATGATGGGAAAACCGATCATCTCGGCAAGTGACTACGAGATCTCCACAATCTCAGGATGAAGAGGGTGTTGCTGTACAGTCAGTAGATTGTGTGAACTGAAGTCCTATAACTCTTGACATCATATAGGCCAATATAATGTTTAGTAAACTATTTGTGTACATTAGTTTCAGAAAACTGTCTCCTGTAACGTATCTCTTAGTACTGTAAATTATAAGCAACATTTAAAATGGGTGAATATTTTCCACCTAATGTGCCCCCTGTTGCATATTACTGAGCATATCAATTTAATTAAGACTATTACTCTATAGAAACCTGGAGCACCTGCACTTTGATTCTGTTTCTTTGTAAACCAGTTCAACTATGTCTCTTTTGTTATTAATCATTTGTGGCCAGTGATTTACTGTGACGACTTTGACTTTATTTATATATTGACCAATGTCTCTCTTACTGAAACCATTCCTGGAAATTTCATTTTTATACTAGATGCAGAACCAATGCAACTTCTAACTTTTGTTTCCAAACTGAAGCTGCTGTTTTGAATTGGTTTCTTTTCCTTTTTTAAAGATTCTTAGGGATGTTGCTGTTACCCTTAAGATGAAAAAAATGGTGTATAGAATAAAATTCATTCCCCATATACAAACTTGTGTTGACAGACTGGTTAATGTGTCATTTCTTTCATTTTAGACACTTAGTGGACTTGTCTTTTTACTTAATACAACTTTTTTGAATGGAAGAATTAATGCCTAAAGCCAGAAATAGAATCATATATGGTTTTGTTTTTAAAACCAGAATTTATAGATTGGAAATCTTGTAGTTCAGTTTCTAAATACAATTGGAATTAGCCATTGGAAGACTTTCTTACAGAGTTTTCCGAAACGTTTTTTTCCTGTAGCTAACATGACTTCAGATTCACAGTACAATCTTGCACTTCCTGTTTTCCAGAAAAATTAATCTCAAATAACAAACCTGAGCGCAGGAGCAATACTGCTTCTGTGGTGCCATCGTAATTTAGTCTGCCTCAGTTACACAACAGATCTGCTCGAGGTAAAACTGATGATAAAATTCTTAATGCTGTACGAGTTCCAACAGGATGATGTTTGATAAAGTTGGTGATGTGACCCTATTGGATTTGTTTACATAAAACTGATGGATTTTGGAATTGTGCCAGATTTGTAGAATTCAGGAATTGGGTAAGAAATTTCCATTGATTAACCCCCCCCCCCCCCCAAATTGGCCTTTTATGTTATTTTATCTCGCGGAGGGGAGGGTGGAACAGAGTTCCTGGGTGGTCAGTAAAAGAAAAGAATTGCAGTTAAGAGTTTGGGATAAGAGGTAGAATGGGGGAACTATCCTGGGGTTGGATTTCATGGTCCTTTTTCCACTTTCCTTTCAAAGTATTTCTTAATGTTATTGTTTTGCCCACAAAATGTACAATCAATTTACTTTGCAGTATAATCTGTGAAGCACTTTGAAATGTCTCGACGTGTTAAGGAGCTGTACCAAATACAAGGATTATTATCAGACAATTTTAAGCTACACTGGAAATGAAAATTTGGCAAATATACTCAAATACTGTGTAGCTTGGAACTGTTTTGAATTTTCTTGGCCTGTTAAAACAGTATTCAATGTCCAGTTAATGACCTTGTTCCCCAATATTAAAATTAATTATTACTTGTGTTTCTTTTTGTGTCTTAGTGGAGGGGGAGGGGGCAGAGAGAGAGAGAGAGTTCTAATATAGCAGCTCTTTCAGCCTAGAACTACAAATCCTTGGATTTGATATATGGTACTGTCCTACCACCATGGTGTTGATATTCCAAGCAATCAATAATGTTGTTCTACTGGGTAACATTATGCTGTCTTATTACATGCTGCATTCCTGTTGTTGAACTAATGTGAAAGCTGAGTAATCTACATTCACATGAAATGCTGAAAAAAGAAATCCAATCGTCAGTTCAATTCAAAGCAAACCAGTGCTGACGTGACCAGAGCCTGCATCACTGGACCCTTTCTGTAAAACCTAATGTAGCAAGTCTAACTTTTGGCCTTTAGTGTAAAGTATTTGCAGAGTTAAGGTTTTGTATGATCAGGACATGAAAGATCATAGCACAAAGAGATGATTTAAACTCATATTGGCTAATAATAAATCACTATTGACATTATCAACTGAATTATACAGAATAGCAGAGAGCTGGAGTGATTCCAAGCCAGTAACCAAACTGGAGATTCAGAAGTGTCATCTTAAAGCTCAAAATCAGATTATTACTTTGCACACTCATGCCAGAAAAATTCAAACAAGCCTGTCTTGGCCATTGAGCAGCGGAGCTGGATACATAGGGACATTGTAAATTTGACACCAAGTTTGTGCTGAATTAATTTTTTAAACTCGAAGCATTGGGGTTGGGAGAGGGACGCTATGATTGGTCTCAGAATTCTGAGTGGGAAGGAGAAAATCAGTCACGGCTCCTGATCATGTTCGAGAGCCTTCTTTCTGAAGGTCAAGTGTAGAGGCCGTGCAAGCAAAGGATGACTTTGCCTGTGCTGGTCCCAGTGGACAAATACAGGTTCACTGTTTTTGACTCGAGGCAAAGGAGTTTCAGTTCATCTTTGAAATTTGATTTCTTTCTCCAACTGGCTCTTTAGTTGGCAGCCGGGCTCAGTCTCTAGTATGCTCGTCTCTTGAGTCAGAAGGGGGTTCAAGCCCCACATCAGGACTCTGAACTCACAGTCCTGCCTGATACTGCAATGCTGAGGGAGTTCTACGTTGTTGGAGGAGCCATCCTTTCACTGAGACATTAAACCGAGTTCCTGTCTGTTCAGGTGGACATTACAGATCAAAAAGAGAAGCAAGTTCTGGTGATTTTCTTGGTGTCCTACCCAGCTGTTTGTGGGACATATCTGTGTGTAAATTGACAGCCTTCTTCACCTACAAATACACAAATCACTCATTGCATTTCACAGTAAAATCCTGTGAAGCTCTTTGAGACATCTCAACAGCGTGAATAGGTGCTATATCAAATCACAAGATTATTTTGAAGGAAAAAGGCCTTTCTCCTCATGCAATCTCTTCCTTCCAGAGTACCCACCCTACCGTGCAAGGATTATTATTATGGATAAATATTGTGTGATGCTAGACCAACTGAGCCAAGTTGCCGCAAACATTATCTGTTCTCCATGCTGCTTACAGAATCCAATGAAGGGCGTAGAACTGTTCGTCAGAAATATAGTAAATAATGTGTTTGTGTGTAAAACGGCAGGAAATAGTGTTACAATCACATTTTCCATCAAGTTAGGCTGTTTCTCAGCTGATGCTACTGCGTATTCTATTGATTTCATGCTCAAACAGGTTTGAACAACAGGGGATTGTGTGCTGAATGCTGAACTCACAGAAACACACCAGCTCCTTACAGAACCCTCTTGTAATGTGTTTTGAGCAGTAATTGCTAATATTAGCCAAACAATGTCTGACGGCTAATCTGTGAAATAAATGACTCCCTTGTAGGAATATGGGATCAGGACAGCGCACATCAAACAATGTTTGGTTTTATGTTTTCACTCAAAACACTGAACAAAAATTGAGTACATAGAGTTCCGTCTGTTAGCATCCCTGTGGGAGGTGAGGTAATGATTTCCAATGATATTAGGCTTGGTGAAATAATGCCAGAGATGCACAGGCAGAGATTCAGTGCATGTACAATATTCTGTTCTCCAACCATTGCAATTTCTGGGCTTTGCTCCAGTATTGGGGCTTCATTGCTATATTATATAATGCCAGAAGGGTTGTACAAATTTCATGAAATGATGTGTTCCAATTCATGCAGAAATTAACCAAATGAATTATTTCATTATTCTATACACATTAAACTTCAATAGCTCTACATTTTCTATGGTCTTAGCCCTAGGATCATTGATTTAAAATTTAGATTGTGCTGGACTTTTTTTTAAAAAATCAGTCTTAATTTGAAAGCTGTTTTTTTAACAAAAAGGGAATAGAGGGGTATTGGATGGGGAATAGAAGGGGTAGGGGCTTGTGTGCAGTATAAATGGCAGCACAAACTAGTTTGGCTGAATGGCCCGTTCCTATTGTTTATCATTATATAATAAAACAAATGATATAACGTCTTTTACATCTGCAGGACATCCCAAAATGCATTCACAGTGCTGACTGGACACTCAAGCTGGAGGTTGGAGCCGAGGTGGAGATTGAGAAGGGAATGATTACCAAAAGCGTGATCAAAGAGGCATATCTTGAGACACGCCTTGAAAGAGGGAAGGGAGGGAGCGATAATGGAGTGCATAGTGCAGAGGACATGAGTGAATAAATAACAACAAACAACAAAACTACATTTATAGAGCGCCTTTCACGTCGGGAGGACGTCCCAAGGCGTTGGACAGTTAGGGTTCAGGACCCGAGCATGGGGGAGGGTAGGGGTGCGGGAAGGCAGAGAGGTGGGAGGGCGACTGAAGGCACGATCAAAGAGGAGGGTCTTGAAACCGGCCTTGAAGGAGGCAAGGTAGGAAGCGAGGTGAAGGGACTGTAGGATGGAGTTCCATAGTGTGGGGGTAGAGAGGCTGAACCGATGGTAAGGCTGGTCGGGCGGGAGACATGGAGCAGGCCAGAGCCCGCTGAACAGAGGAAGTGGGCAGGTTGGTAGGGAGTCAGCAGGTTAGAGAGGTAGGAGGGGGCAAGGCCATGGATGGCTTTGAAAGTGAGGACGAGCATATTGAATTTGATCCTCTATGGATGGGGAACCAGTGGAGTCGGGTGAGGGTGGGAATGATGGGGTCACGGAGCCTGGTGCGCGAGAGTACACGAGCTGTAGAGTTTGGATGATCTGAAGCTTGTGAAGGGAAGAGTTGGGAAGGCCGATGAGGAGGGAGTTTCCATAATCGAGCCTTGATGTGACGAATGCGTGGGTGAGGGTTTGGCAGCCTGAGGGGTGAGGCAGTGGTGGAGTCTGGCAATGTTGCGGAGATGGTGGTAGGCAGTGCCGGTCATGGCCCGGATGTGGGGGAGAAAGGACAGTTCAGGGTCAAACAAGATACTCAGGTTCCTGACAGGGCTTCGTGAGGTTGAGTGTGCAAGCGTGGAGGCTGATGCTGCCGGTGCCCGAGGTGCAGAGGTGCTGGCGCGAGCCAATCAGGAGGGCCTCGGTCTTGCTGACGTTGAGTTGGAGAAAGTTGTCCCTCGTCCAGGACTTGATGTCGGACAGACAGTCGGTCAGGATGCCAGTAGTCCTGGAGTTGAGGGTGGAGGCAGAGAGAGAAAGTTAGGTGTCATCCGCATACATGTGGAAATTTATCCCATGTCTGCGAATGATGTCACCAAGGGGGAGCATGTAGAGGGTGAAGAGGAAGGGACCGAGGACAGAGCCCTGAGGAACACCACACGACGGTGCGGGGACTGGAGGAGAAACCGGTTGCTGAGACGAAGTTAGAGAGTGAGAAATGAGATTTGTTTTTCTTTCCTTTGAAGAAAATGTGTTGTAGTATGTGGACTAAAGTACCAAACCATGCTGGCAAGTATTTTGAGACCTGTTAAACCACATACCTCAAAATTAACACATTTTCAAGTGCTCGGAAGAGTCGGGAAGTAGCAGCTGTATCACATCCTGTGATATCTCTGAGCTGCAGTGATTAAAG